TCAGTTAACTGTTGTAAGGACTACATTTTTGTTTTATTAAAACGCTTCAATACTTAATCGTATTTTGAAAATAGTGTTTACAATTGTAACTGGACACAAAAACCGCGGTTAATTAACTTTTAGGCCACCCTATACATTTCTTTAAGTTAAAGATAATTAACAATTATGAAATAAATAGATAATGAAAGCTTTCAAATTTATAATTTAACAATACCACTGTTTATTCTAGTTGATAAATATCTTAAAAATTCGATATTACGGTTAATGATTAGTCAAATAACTATCATTATGTTTCTTATAAGCGTAATAACAGACACGTTTTCAGTATTTTAAGAAATTATCTAATGGAATAAATATCCCTAAATCTTTTATTTATTAGGAACAGTTTATCTTAAGTCAAAGGTCATGTATCACGTGGTTCCTTAGTTTGTTAATCATTCCATGTGAACACGGTGATGGGAAACTCTTATTATTGTTTTAGATTTTTATACATTAAATTTGGTTTATTTCTCTTTGAAAAACTATAATCACCGATAATATTAGTTTTATCTTTACTACAAATGGATTTTTCTGCTTTTATTATAGTTAAAATCTAGTAAGTTTGTTCTTATTTTAAAATTGCTTGAAAATTGGTCTCTTTCATTTCTGAATGTATAATAATCATACATAATATAGCTACAATCTATTTATATCTATAGAATATATTTTAATACAGTGATACCCCGAACTTACGCGATAGGTGGGACCGAGCGATAACCGCGTAAGTCGAATTCGCGTAAGTCGGGGTATAATTTCCCAATTTGTGTAAAATCTAAGTCGGATGCATGTAAGCTAATAAATGTTCTCATTAATCTTATCTCGTCTTTCGATTCGTTCACGGTTACAAGAAATCGCCACATAGAGTCTCTCAAGTCTCCGTAGATATAACAAACACAGAAATAAATAACACAAAATAAATTGTAGTTATGTGTCGATTCCGCGCGACACGTCCGAACATGTAAGCCGAACAATAGTGTGGGAGGAGTGAGTAATCAAGAGCTGCGTGGCGCTCAAACAAAAGACGAATCGACGAGATTTGAAAATCGCATAAGTCGGGGTAGCGTAAGTCAAGGTATTACTGTATTATTAATCAATTATTTAAATATGTTATTATATATTTAATTAATTATGACTTAATAAACAAAATTAAAAGTATCATCTTTTATTAATTGAGTTTATTTACGCTTAATGGAAATTCTTGTTAATTTTTATAATTTAATTTTTTAATACTTAACAGTTTTATAGGTTAAATTTACTTACTTAGTGTAATGTTATTTGAGTATCTAATATACAATAAAATTAAAATTTCTGTGATATATTTATGAAAATACGATTAATAATAATAATGATAAATAGAATATATGTACTGTACATATATTCTATTTATAGTACAGTAAAACCTGTCTTAAACGAATGAGACGGTCCGTTTTGGCAGGTTATCGTTTAACAGACAGTCAATGATATCATGAACAGTCAATGAAATCATATTTACAACTGTATCTGCTACACAAAACGTGGTTAATCGACTTTTGGCCATGTGGTATATTTTTTTAAGTTATAAAAGTCTTTAATTATTTGATTATTGAAAACTTAAATAATTAAAGCATTTCAAAATATAAATGAACATCCGTTTCTAGTAGCTTTTTTGTATCTGGTATTCTTCTAGTTGTATGAATACATTATTTATATCACATGAATCTATATTTTTAAAAAATTATTTAAAACTGTTAAATATTATAATTACTAATATATATTAATATATTAAATAATTATTTATTAGAAATCATTTATTACTTCATAACTTTGTGAGATTTCAATAAAGGATTAAAAATAAATTGTAAAAATTGATTTTGTTGTTTTTCTGAATGGAAAAATCATTTATTGGCGACACTTTTCCAAAAATTCGATATAAAATTAAATAATTATTTAGTTTTTTTGCTTTAAAAAATTCTATGGCTAAATGGAATAAATGTATTTTGTTTTAAGGTCTAATGCTCTATAATTTTATAAAATATTTAAACTATTAGCATTCAAATTTATTAATAATAACTATTTTAAAGTTGTAATTAAATTTTATTAATATTCTAATTGAATTTATAAATTTTTTATTTATAAATTTAATTAAAATAGAAGATTTTCTCCATAAATTTATGAAAATTAATTAAAGTTGTTGTTTACTTAATTGTTTACATTTTATATACTGTATATGCAGTCATTTTTCTGTTGAATGATATTTTTATCATAAATATTTATTTCATTTTTATTAATTTATACTTGTTTATTTTTATTTTGCTTAATCGTTTATTTTTAAGTAATAATTATTATTTATTTCAATTAGTTTAAATTTTTAATTTCATTTAATTCTTCTTATTTATTAAGCGATATTTTACTTATTGTTTTAAACGTTTAAACTTTTTTATTGTGAATTTAATGGATTTATATTTGAAATAATTATATGATTAAAATTCTTTGTTATTTTATTATGGACTTTTAATATTAGTTTCATTTAAATATTTTTTTATTTGAATATTATTATCTAAATTAGTTATATAGCCTATATAAAGAGCATAGTACATACTCTTTGCCTATAGAATTATACATACTGTATATACATATATAATATTTATGTATTTTATAATATATATTAATTATAGTTAAATATATACAATATATTTAATTTTTTACATACTATGATATGAATAATATGTATGTGTGTATATACAATAGCGAATCTGAAAATTTCATTACCTATGATATATATCAAAAAGCGTTCAACAGATGTTCAAAATAGCATATTTAAGCTGTGATTGCGATTGATAATGTTAGCATAAGTAATAAAGATAAGAAACAAAGAAGAATAAACCAAAATAATAAAATTTATTACATATAATAACACAGCTTAAGTAAGTGTTATTTCACGCCTCAGCATTAGCATTTCCAGTACTGTTAATGAGCTCTGTCTCACGAGAATAAGAAAAAAAGAAACAAGTGCAACGTGTACTAAAAACACATGAACAGTTATTTCCTCGTTGAATGGAATTTCAATACATCATAGGGTCACTTCGAATTTTAATAATAACTTTGCAGCGCTTCGGCAAAGTGAATGAGTTTTTAAAGTATTCTATAACAAGTTCGGCATACCAAGCGCTTCTAATACACTCTTTTAGTCGTATTTACTTTTAGGTGTCTTGTCTGAAATTTTCGTACTCCTAATATTTTAGCAGTTTTCAATAAGGTTGAGCTCAGGATTCTTGCCTGACCGATTTAGGCATATGATCTGGGCTTCTTGTAGGAACTTTTTATCTAAACAGCAATTTGTGTGTCACTTTAAATGAGAATAATGCTAAAAAAGTCATGAAGAAAGGACACATTGTGACGTGGCTCAGTGTCATTCTGGAAGATGCAGTATTTTGTGCACGAAATTGTTCCTTGATTATCGGAATCAGCTTGGCAGATAAAATTTTTTGTATCACTACATTTACAGAGCCATTTATAAAGTGTAGCGGCCGACACTTTACTGCACACGCATCCCCACGCCATTTAACTCACAAGAAATATTACTGTTTGCATCAAGCAATTCCTGCTGTAGATCTCATCTTTTCTACGCATAACAGTTTGACGTCATATCCTTGCAGATTAAATTCGGATTCATCCCAAAACAGCAGAATCCCACGTGTCAACGCTTCAGTCCGCATGATTTTTAGCCCTGTCTGCGCATTATAATGACTTATTACGTAGACGGCAGACTTTTAAAACTCATATTGCGTAGGCGATATCGCACAGGAGTTAACGCTCTCGCTTTTACTCCTGTCTGTTCTTTTCATTTTACTTTCAATTTGGAAGAACTAGCAGTACGTTCTCGCAGCCTGAGATGCTCCAATATTGTATTCTCGCACGGCGTACTCACACGTTTACTTGATGATCCAGCTTTTTTTTAAAAAATGTTGCCGTGTTTTTTGTAACAAACACGCGACTGATTGATTTATTGAAGACAATGCAGTCTCTGCGCTGTTTTACGCGAGGATAAATCTTCAGCATTCAAAGTAACAATTGCTGACTTAGACGATGTTAAATATCGAGAACTTTCAATTTGCTTATAAAAGCTCATGCTTTCTCACGAGTGTTTGTAACGATGAATGAGACAATCGTCGAAATTATTTCTGCAGTAGACTTTGCCAGCCAATAAAAACGTTCTTATGTTTATGATGCCACGAATGATCGGTTTCTTGCAGGTATACAACAAAAAGATAATTTTTCCGTAAAAATTAAGTAAAAAATAAACAAGTACATTATTATATAAGGATTTAGGAATGATGCAATTTTTATAACAGCTATTGTATATGCTATATTATATCATTAACTATATATTACAGAGCATATAAAGAAATTTATATGCTAAATATAAGTTAATATATGTAGGACTTTAGTAATATATACGTAAGAATGAAACTACTAACACTATAAATGTATACTTTAACTAACTATTTACTTCTATATGAAGTCATGATGCTTACTTGTACACATTTAGGCCTACATGTAAGTTATACTTGCAGCTACAGTTATGTAAATACGCCTAAATTATGCAAAACCATATACAGTACATATGGTGGGTGTAATTATATGGTTATGTACTGGGTTATATAATATACGATGACTCAAAAATCAGTTGACTGTTTTAAGATAGCTTGATTGTAGTTTTTATTAACATAGTTAAGATATTATTCTCCACGTTAAATATATAGGCTAATTTACAGCATTCTAGAACAGTTCTACAGATTTTCTGATATAAAACTACACACATAAGCTTCGATACTTGCAATTAACTCATTTTTGGGCCACCGTGTATGTATTAAAATTAGTCGATGCCGCGATATAATTGGCTAATAAATTAATCGATTGCTTGTAGTGAGAGTAAAATATCAGCAATGGACTAATATTTTCTATCTTTTTTATATTTCCAGACGCAAGAAAAGGGAGACCAAAAAAGAATACGACTTGTTACGTTTGTCATAAAGTACTAAAAAATTCCGTAGAGTTACGTATACATTGCAAGAGTCATCTATCCAACGATCCACTTTTTTACTGCGAGATATGTGGATACAATTCAAAATGGAAGGAAGATGTGAAAAGACATAAAGAAAGAGAACATACAGCTTTGCTTGGTTCTAACCACAGATGACAAGCTCAAAAATGAAATTTTCTATGAAAAAAACTGCCAAAAATACCGCATTCTTCCGCAAAGCACACGAAGTATTTGATTATTCCTTTATTTGCACAACGTTTATATTTTATTTTAGGTGCATTGTCCAAATCAAATGTGTATATATATATAAACGATATATTGTATATACTATATGTTATACATATATACAATATATTTAATAAGAAAAAGTTGTTTAATTTCCTGCACGGAATTACGTGTATATAGTTTGTAGTAATACGTATATATGCATATTGTTTCAGGCTTGTAATATAATGTATTTAGTAGTAGTTTAGTTTTTAAAAAATCAACAAAAAATGTTCTTAATTACAGATATAGAAGACAGAAGAATGTGTAGTTTATTGTAAAATTATAAATAGTAAAAAAATTAATTCGATTATCTACATTTTACATTAAAGAACTCACGGTGGCTCTTTTAATTTTTTCCAAAAAAATTTCTTTTAAATCGGAAGTTATGGGACATTTGTTTAATTTGTGAGCAATATTTTTGATTTTTTGCATATATTCTTAACGTTCCTTTGTTTAAATTGTGAAATAAAAAGTAAGAATTTTATGTTAAGTCATGATTGGTGATCTTTATAATGATCTGTATGCCTATGCTTTCGGGGTAGAGGTTGGATTGGGGAAAGCATATGGACTTAAATTATACAATTAATTTACAGTTTTACGGTATAATTTAAGAAAAAAGCATCATTTAATTCTAAAAATTAAAAATATATCAAATTCGGCTATTAAATCTGACAAAAATGTAATATATAACATTTTATTTTCAGATTTTGAGCAATTTTTCTTCAAAAACAGAAATAAAATTTTATTTTTATTGACCAATCTAGCTTGTAGTAATACAATTCCATTAAGTTCTTATATTAATTACAATATTTTTTTATATTTTATAATTAATTATATATTCTAAATTAAACGTGTAAATGATAGCGAATTGTTATAAAATTAACCCACGAAAGAAATGTAAATTATCATTTGTTTTTGCAGTTTTGTTGTAAATTTACTAGGAAAAAGCTTGGTGTGATCAATAATTTCAAAATATTGTTAAATAAGAGAAAAATATGATAAGACCAAACTTAAAATAAAATTTTTTGTTTCTTAAAGTGTACATCCATAGGGGACGACCCAAGGCTTCAAAAACGTGCCCTTATTGCCTTCGTACGTTTACCAGGTGTGCCAATTTAAAAGACCATGTGAAGTTACATCAGCCCAATCCACCCAAATATTGCTGTGATGTTTGTGGTTACAAAACTCTATGGAAGTCTCACATCATTCGACACAGGAAGGTGCATTTAGAACAAAGCGGTGCTGAGCCCAACAGAAGTTTCAGTTATTATTTTAATTATTAAAACTGGAAAAGTGATATAAATTACTTATTTATACCGTTTATTGGGCAGTTCTTTTTTTTGTAAATGGAAGTTTAGTATTAAATATAAAATCTGGTAAATTTTATTACGCTAACGAAATATCAAATAAACTGCTTTTGGGTACAGGAAATTGTGTTTTATCATTTGAATAAATTATAAATGAATTCTTTCAAGACAAAATAAAAAGGTCTAGAAACGATTTACATATTTTAAATCATGAAATATCTTGTAATATTTGTATAAAATACTCACGAAAGATGAATATAATTTATTAAAGGAAGGAGAATGTAAATCGAATTATACTGATATAGGTCTATTGTTTTCCATAATAGNTAAATCAAATTTAAAAAGTATATATTTGTTTTTTACTTATTTGATTTAAGTTATAAATTTTATCTTGTACATTTTTTAAAAATTAAAATATTGATATAACGATTGCATTTCTTAATATCTCAACTTTCTTGTTGATAAATCATTGTTAACTGCTAAAGAAATGCATTAAATACTTTAATTTTGCATTATTCTAGGTTTTTTAGCGTTTTCAAATGTAAAATAAGCTGTAAAAAAATAAAATTCAATAAAAATTCTGCTATATTCTTTACTGCTACTATATGAACTTATATAAATAATTTAGTGTATGTAGAAATAATATAATATGGTGATAAATCCACAGGTTTTACTATAACCTTATGAGATTATACGTAATTATTCTTGTGACAGTAAACCTTAATTTCTTCAGGTGACTTCTATTTTGGCCGTTTCCAGTTACCGAAGACCTGCGAAATATGTCATAGAACTTTTTCCACTAAGTCGACTTTGAATCGTCATACCAGGATTCATCAACCAAATGCTCCAAGATATAAATGCGAATTTTGTGATTATAAATCCATATGGAAGGACGACGTCGTCAGGCATAGAAAATTGGTGCACATATCCAAAATATAATCACATTTTGCACTTTGCACACGATGAAACTCGTTGCTTTTTGTATCCAGATAATACTTATGCACTAAATTTAGGCAATAATCTGTGATATGGCTTTTAATTCTGAAGTTCTCATAAACGATTCAAAGAGATTGATGAATACTGATAACTTTGTTATATTAACAAATGCAACTAATAATTCGTGGAGCTATTGTGATAATTAATTAATTTCATTTGTTAAAAAATGTTAAAATAATTATTAAATCATATAAATTGTTGTTGTATAAATTGCAATTTAAAAAGTGATTTAGTTTATATAATAAAGATATGGAAACATCAATAAGGTTTTTAACGTGCGGGTTTAATCAATGGTGAAAAAATAAAAGATGACACTCGTTACAAGCAACAATTTGCATCAGTAATACGTCCATTCATCTAATATGCTGTTCTATATTCACAGGATTTTATTTAGGTTTCCGCGCTCGTGGTAGACCAAAGATGCCACGAGTATGCCACATCTGCCTCAAGAGTTTTTCGACTAGTGCCACCTTGAAACGTCATCTGAGGATACATCAGCCTAATGCAGCCATGTATTCCTGCAAGCTTTGCTCCTATAGATCTATTTGGAAGGATGATGTTATCAAGCATCATCGTCGAATGCACGTTCCCAAGTTAGATTATGCTAAAGATTCTTGTTAAAAGTTGCATTTGTTTGTTGTTATCGTAAATTTAAATTATATACAAAGAAAGAAACATGGCAAGAAATGAGGAACGTGGCCTGAAGGTATTTATTTACATATTTATAAAAGTAATTATAACATAAATTTATATTTTTCGGATTTCATTTTCAAAATATACTTTTTCTTTCAGTTCCTCTTTATAGAAAAGCCAAATTTATACGAAGAGCTTTGATAAGTCGGTGTTATATCTCGAGCAGGCATAGGAGATTCATCAAATATGCTTTTGTGATGTTCGAGACGTGCAAACTTATGTGAATAGAACATTAAACATTAATGGTGCTTGAAAAATAATCTACGGTTATGTCCTTAAATTGTTGCATAATTGTTTGTTTGAATGAGAGATTGAATTTTTAATTCTCCATTTATTGTTGTATTGATATCATAACATTATGGGTATTTTTAAAGTTTCAACTTCAACCATTTATTTCTCTTTAATTTTGGAGTTTTGTTTTATTATAACTTAATAGTTTATTAATAAATTTAGTTTATACTTCATAAAATATGTTGTTAAAAAGCCAAAAGTTCCTAAATATATTTAAAGATTTACCATCATTAAATGTTGGCACTCAAAATATTTTCTGAAGATCCTTTGAAATTTTGTGTAATTACACGAAAATTGGTTAAGTATGAAATATTTACAAGTGTTACAATGTTCAAATATGTGTAAAATGATAATAACCATAAATGAAACTGTGATTAAATGAGTGAGAATGATTTTTTGAGCGTACTTAATTTCATGTTCTTTTTCCCGTAACCAACACGATTGATTCAACTGTAACAGAGAAATTACCAAAAAATATATGTAATGAGCCATAAAAATGTTTTTAACACAGCTTCTGCTCTTAGATTAGATCGTAATTTATAAATTTTATAAAAGTTTGAAAATTAAAAAATCGGTTTAAATTATACCAGAAACTTTGATTTAATTTCTACAAGAAGAAAAACATATAAAAGACCAGAAAATAGGCGTTTGAGCGATCGTTTTATAGATTGTTTTTTAAATTCTTTCCTAACTTTCAGGTAAACAGCGAAAATCCAGGACGTGTCGATTATGCTTTCGTACTTTTTCACGAAGTACCCACTTGCAACGTCACATGGTTCTTCACCTTCCAAATGCTCCCAAATACAAGTGCGAAATCTGTGATTATACTTCCATTTGGAGAGATAATGTGATTCAACACGTACATCGTCAACATTGGAATTTATCAGTCAAAAGTTCATCGTCATGACTTTATCAGTTAAAAGGACTCAAGGAAATGAATGATGTATAATGATTTATATACGAAATTTATATATATATATATATAGACTACTTTCACGTAAAGTAATTCTGTACAATAAACAAGATCGAAGGATTAAAATGGAGAATGTAATGTTTGATTTATTTATAATAATACAAATGTGCATTTATGTGGTCGTGGAGGGATTGGAAATGCACATAACGCGTAACCGTTATGATCTAATTTTCTTGCCATTTAACCTATATACAGTATGAAAAATATTTGCTTTTTAGCTTTTCTATATTCTGTAAAAAACTGGTTTCTCTGTTAGATAACTGCCCCCTTAGAAAGATGCCCCGAAGGGTAAGATGGAGCTTTGTAATATGTTCGGCAATCGCCGTGAGGGATCCGGGTTCGATTCCGACCCGGATTCTCGTGATCTTTTTCATAGACAGTTGGAATCGGGGCATCGATCCTCCATCCCTCTCATATGTTAGGTGACTTAATGCGGGTGAGGCGTGCGTATAATCTTTGTTAATGTTACGCGTTTCCGAATGGACCGACCAAGATGTCCTCTAAAAGTCCGTCTACTGGTAAAGAAAGTTATCTAATAGGGAAGCCAATAATGGTTCTATGAGCGGTCTAGGTTTTCTTTTATCAGCCGACTAATGAGCTTCTCTGTTTCTAAGGTTTCAGGATGACAACATTGATGTGTCTGTTATGTCAGAAGACCTTCGCCACTCCCACAACTCTACGGCGCCACGCAAGGCTCCATCAACCCAACTCTCCGCGTTTTTCATGCGAACTCTGCGGTTATACCTGTAACAGGAACGATAACGTAACCAAACATAAACGTCAAGTACATGGCTTAACGGTGTAGTTATGTGTTAATGTATCTACGAGTTAAACTTTTGTGAAAAGTTTTTCGTTGTGTGTTTTGTAAGCAAATGTGCTTTGCCGTGTGATCGATGCACTACTCTATCGATTACCTTTCTTAAAACTGAAAATATTAAAAATAATAATTGCATGTACAGATAAATTAGCAATTAAAGATGTAGATTTTACAAATGAGTTTTTATCTTAATTATGGAGCTCGCAATTACTGTTTTTGTGCGACTTTACTTTGTAAATATTCAAACGCTTTGCAAATTATTTCGTAGATTACAATTGTCACAAATTTCAGAGATTTTGTGTCTGAATTGGAATGTTTAAGTCTACTTGTGTCTGTCACAATTTGTCCTGTAAATAGATTAGCCTATAAATGAAAATTCGCATCAAATATAAGCTTGGTTTTGTCTGCGTTTAACCGTCATACAAGCTTTGAAAAGCGATAAGTTAACTTCTTCCATTTACTGATCATTTTCATAAAAAAAATAACTCTGTTTACTGTGTTCACATTTAAAAAAAATTATCTTAGCAATGAGTAGCGCCTGTTAGCCGGTATGTTTCCTCACACTTTATGTTCTTAGCTGTATGTTTCGTCGTGCATTATTATACGATTATTTAAATATGATGTAATTCATCTTTCTTATAATTTAAAAATTACATTTTACATATATACGTGTTATCGAGCATAAACGAAGTACGGAAAGGAAGATAACATTTCTTAAAGGCACATAAGATATTCGACGTTTAAAACTGCAAATATTAGACAAGAATTTTTACAATTGATTTCTCGAGTAACCAATAAGCATTTATACCCATAATTGTAAGATATTTCTTTAAAGGAGTGTAAAGAGAGTTTTCTTAAAGTGCTAGAGAGAGATGCTTCAGATTCTATGATCATTCTATTCTTGCTTTTAAAGAATCTTTCAATGTTGATCTATATTCAATTTAATTAAATTTAACAAACCGAAAACTATTATTGTATATTTTTAATAAATATGCGTAAATTATATGCTTTTATAACAGCGAATGCTTAAATTATATACTTTTTAAGAGAGAAATATTTAAATTTTGCTTATCTTGTTGAGTATTTTCTGTCTTTATCTTCACCTGGCTTAATTATTATTATTATTAATTTATATCTTATATATCATTTTCTAATTATTTTAATTCATATTTTTATGTTCTATTTTGCGCTTTTACTATATCAAAATAATGACATTAAATATACTAAAACTTATTATTTAAAAATTATTTTTATATTTTATAATATTTTATTCTATTATTAATTTAATAAAACTTTTANATAATTCTTTAGTCTTTTGCAAATAATAATAACATTAGAAATGCTTAAGATATTTAATTAATTTTTATCGTAATATAAGTAATATTAAAAACTAATTATAACTGTGGAAAACTTAATAAATTAATAATCATAATTTGATACAAGAACTGAACAACATTCGAATTTAAGTTATAACTTAAATTAAAACTACATTAAAATCTCGATTCCTGTTTCAGAGAGGAGTTTTTACGCTGATGATTACCAGGTATGACCTCTTTATGTTTTTTGTTAATTATAATTTATTATAAATTATTTTTGCATGCAGTACATAATTAAACGTATGATACATTTTACACGTTTATAATATAATCTACGTTGATTTTTTAGGTAAAAATGGAAATGTTTCAAAGAAACCTGACGTACTTTGTCTCGGTAAATGATTGCAAAAAAGTCATCTACGTGGCTGACAAGAAAGATATTATTGATGAAATTTTAAGGTCTTTTAACTTAGTTACGCAGAATTACGTCTTGCAAATGTACCACACCGAATGGATGGATTACGTAGATGTGGAATCGTTATTCGATATTCCCAATAAAGCAACGCTCAAATTAATCACTTATGACTCACCTGTCAGTAACCCCTTGCATAACGCTAATCTGTTAGAAAAATCCGACAATTCCGTTAGTAACAACAAAGAAACTTGGCCCGATCGCTTTACAATACCCGAAAAACAATTCACTCCGTGTTTACTTAACGCTTTAGCCAACAAACAAAAGTTAAGTTGGTCCCAAAAACACGAATTTTTAACTGTTTTATGTGATACTATTATGTCTTATACATTATATCCTACGAAAGCGCAGATAATTGAAGTAGCACACGAAATAGTGAGCACGTATAGTCATTTGAAAGGCGATTTCACTACTGGTTATTTGGGTTGGGTACAATGTTTAATTAACAAATTAAAAAATGTCAGAAGGAACCTTAAGGTTGAAGCTGTTCAAAAGAGAAAAAAGAAATACAGAAAATTAATTTGAGATAATATCTTATATACTGAAAATCATCTAAGTATNAGATGATATTGCAGATTACTTTAATCCAATTGTCTACGTTAATGATGCCCAAACTTTTCGATTGCGGATCAAATTGCGAATAACAAGTCACAAATATTTAGTATAGTTCACATATATATATATATATATATACATAAAGGGCATATTTTATTGTTACGGAGAAAGCACGAAACGTCCTTTCACTCCTAGAGAACTGTGTATTTTTTCTTTAAGTGTTTCGAAAATAAAATGTCTATCCTTATAATTGTTTGGATAATTTACTTATTTAAGATGATAATTAATTATAAATGGACATTTTTGTCTGTAAAAATAGCGAAGAAAGCCGAAAACCTGCGTATAAAGTAGGCATGTGTGTATTTAATCAGTCCATATAAACTCGAGCGACACACAACCTTTACACTTTCGGGGTCGAGGAGGGTCGGTAGAAAGTGTACCGATTTGAAACATAAGAGATTTTTATCATTCATGTCGATTATCCGAGGTTCATTACATGAATTCATGCTATGTTTTAATATATTGATGTTAAATTTATTGCTTGATCTTTAGACTGGTTAATAAATTATTTCAAGGCTACTTTTATTCTCAAAGCGATAGGTCGAAAGAAGCCCAGGACTTGTAGTGTATGTTTAAAGACATTTTCACGTCACTCCACCTTGAAACGTCATTTTATACTCCACCAACCAAATGCACCGAAATTGACATGCAATATTTGTGGTTACGAATGTCATAGAAAGGATCGAATGACCAAACATATAAAAAGTTGTCCTCTAACGTGAGATTTTTATATTTATATATAAATATTCTAATTATACACAAATCAAGTAAGTATCTCCGATTTGGTATTTATTTTAATCGAGGAATAAGGTCCTAGTTAAAAGTTATTTTCTTTTGATTTTATTTTACAGAATAAGCAGATCTCTGAAGGTTATTTAATATTTTGATGAAGAATCTTCATGTTACTATAAAATAATTCTTTTGTAAAGTTTGTAATTCTGGTTTTTAAAGAAATATTTAAAATAAAAATACATATTTTAATATATTCTTTAAAAATGAAATTATTATTCATTTTAAATAATTATTTAACTGCCAATGAAATTGAATATGTTCATTTTGTTTAACATTCTCAAATGCATCAATTTCTTTGTTACGAGTGATTAAAATTCTTCAAAGCATCAATTTCTTTGTTATGGATGATTAAGATTCTTCAGAACATTAATTTCTGTAATATAGATGATTAAAATTCTCCAACGCATCAGTTTCTTTGTTATGGATGATGGATATTATAAACCAACCTGAAACTCTTCGGTTTTATTTATTTTTTTTAAAGTTTTTTTTAATCATTTTTCACCTACTAATACAGTTCTTTAACGATTTTAGGTCACACCACATGTCCCAAGTGTCTCAAGTGCTTCACTTCTAGATCCAATCTGAATCAACATCTGCGAATTCACGAGCCTTCTTTTATGTTTAAGTGCTCGAAATGTTCTTACGTTTCATTAAGAAAATGTAACGTGATAAGACATCTTCGCAGTGTTCATAAAGCCACTCAGAATATTATCAAAGTTAGAAGGGAAGATTTACAAAAATAAAAATAAATAAAATGTTTATTTTGATTGTGTAAATAAAATTATGTGATTATTTCATTTCTAGACTCTTTTGTTTTTTCGTTTAAATTATTTATCATTGATAGATCGGGTGTTTCAGTACCTTTTTTTTTTAGGTTAATAGCCATTGCACTAAATTAACTTCCGTCTGTTCTACTTTATAAGTTCTAAAATCAATTTTTAAAAACAATTTTCCTGAAGTCAAACGATACACTAACCGAGAAATCCAGTATCACCAATAATTAAAGATTCAAATGCGCATTAAAAACAACAGGATAGCCTGAATATAAATTAGAAAAAAAAAGGTTGATAAGAGTTTACGGGGTTCATTCGTTGTTAATTATATAAAATAATAATGTACTGGTTTGGATTTTAAGTTATTGCTCTTAGCTAGGATTATTGCTACCTGATTGACAATGATTTTTTTCTATAGGTTACGGATATACCAAGAATTGGGTTTGTAATGTGTGTTTGAAAACTTTCTCAAGAAGTTCTCACCTTTCTCGTCACGCTAAGATCCATCAACCAAATGCTCCAAAATACATCTGTGATTTATGTGGATATGAATCATATCGCAAAGACCACGTTGTGCAACATCGCCGTTTGGTGCACCGAACACACTTTTTTTAAAAACGATATATATATATATATAAAGATAATATCATTTATATATATTCTATAATATATCTAATTAAAAATTTATATATATATATATATAACACAAAACATATATATATGTATACATATAGGCTACATAAGTTATATATATATATACATATATATAAAATTTCTGGGTGTTCATATTTAGGTAATGTTATACGAAAATTCGCCCAGGCTAAAAACTAATTGGGGTTGTTACAAAATATTGGATTCATTAAGGGGAAAAAACAACATATTTAATTTTGTGTGGGGTTTTTTAATATTGTTCCGCTTTAAAAAGCTAAAATAATTTTTTGTAGGCCCAAATTGTTGGTTTGTTTTTTTAAATATTATTATTATGTTAGAAAATCATTTATGTTTATGGAAGTTATTCGAATGTAACATGGTTATAATAAAATATTGGTTAAAAAAACCTGTTTAACAGGAAACAAATTAGTCTATTTTTTTCAAATAAAAACAGAAGTTTTATCGAAGAAAATTCGTTAAAAAATAAATAAAATGGTGCTAAAAAAATCTAATTTTAAATATTTGTAATTGTATTGACATAATGTATAATAATTTCTCTCAAAGTTTTCAGGAAGACGAATCACGATTGTCCTTATTGCAAGAAACGTTTCTCACGATCTTCTGACCTTCGTCGACATCTTAAAATACACCAAGTGAATCCTCCTAAACATCCCTGTGATCTGTGCAGCTATGCTTCTCTACAAAAGTGCAATTTAGTCCGTCACAGACGTCACGTTCACGGAATTATTTAATAAACCACGAAGAAAGAAAATAAATTTAAAATATAATTAAAAATGATATCGTCTAAGGAGGTGACAAATGCATTTTTGAATCATTTCAGGGGATTGATTTCATGGCAAATTTTTTAGAATTGTAGACATATTTTACAATATTCGTGTTAAGTTTTTCTTGAATAATATATATATATATATATGTATATATTACAAAATTGCTCAAAATATATATTTATATTCAGATAAATTTTAGTTGTATTTATATGAAAATATAATTTTGCATCCATCCAATGTGGAAAAATCCTATTTAATGAGATATAGAAGAACCAAGTGTTGTGCTTTGATGAGAAAGGATTGTACAACGTTTTCTTCTTATTTCGCAGCTTCTGTTCCTATTGATTCGTCTATGAAGTTGTGGACGTGTCAAGTATGCTACAAATCCTTCAACAGGAGCACACATCTCAAACGTCATTTACAGATTCATCAGTCAAATCCTATCAGATTCATGTGCTATATCTGCAATTATTCGTCGTTACAGAAATCCAATGTGGATCGTCACAGACGACACGTTCATAAATTAATGAATGATTGATTAATCGATTAAACATTAAACGATGTTCTAAAATTTGAGTTTTTTTTTTTTTTTGGTTAATTTGTTCGTATCAAAATTAATAGATTATTATTCTATTAAATTATTCCACATATGTACAGTACAGTACATAATAGCGTTTGTTTCTGATTGTAAATATTGTTCGGATGTAGATTTATATTGGCATGTACATTTTAAGGGTTGTGGAGGGTTTGGAAAATGTACATGCTCTTATATAATAACTGTCTTATCGATTAAGAAGTGATACGCAAGTAACAAACACTATTATATAAATTATACCCCAATTCAATGAAAGAAATCACAATCTGGATTTAAAAAGATCTGTTTTAGGCTGTATGAGATCCGAACCCACGTTTTTTTAGCCTGTTGTACCTAATTATTTCCCAGTTACCAATACATTTGATTCGTTTATAGTATACATATTTATACTTTTTATCCAAAATAGATCTTTTTATATAATGATTAAGCTATCTTAATCCTATTATTGTTATTGAAATTTAAAAAATAATTGACCAAAAATTTAATTATTCTTGGTTCGTGATTTAGCCCATTATAATTAGCTTAAATTAAAAATTGAGAATATAATTTTGTTTAGCCTATTTCTTCAAAGTGCTGATTATAATGATATCAGGTTTAATTATACTAAATATATTTTCATTCGAGACGAAACGTTTCCGTCACTCGTATCACGAAGAGGTTACGAGGACGTTAACACGAAGGTCATTTAAAGCAAAGAGTCGTGATTGCTCTAAGATCCAGTTTGCATATATAAAACTATTTCTATTATGTAGACGTATAAGACTTTGTAAATCACTTTATCCTTCTGTAAATTTTTTAAAAAAAAATTTTAATTAAACTATAAATTAAGGAACAATAGCTTAGAGAAAAAAAGTAGTCTGCTAATTGTCACGAATAATCGCTACAATTAGCAGGGAATTTTGGAAATTTTACTTATTATTTTATGTTTTTGGTTGTTTTAGAACTACTTTGAAGCATATTTTTAAATATTATGTTGCATTTTTTGATTCAATATCTCAATTCTTAATGACATTTCAAGCTGTTGTAACCTTCAATATTTAAAATTATATTAAGCTGAATTACTATTTTTGCAACCCTTATAAATTATTCTTTATTTAGGTGCAACAAGAATAGGGTTTAATGAGTCACAATTCATACAAATCGGAATGAATTAAGTTTAATCTATTGACTAATATTTTCTATTACAGGTACGTGGTTATCAAAGCAACCGTTTTGTTCCATTTGCCAGAAATTATTCTGTAACCTAACGACTCTAAAGCGTCATTTGAGAATCCATCAACCCAACGCGCCAAAATATTGGTGCAACTCTTGTACTTACACCTG